GGGGGCCACCCACGGGAACCGCCCCCAGCCACTGTGGATTGTGCGGCCATCCTTGGTCCACATGGTCAGTGGTGGTGGGTCCCCCTCCACTGGACACTGCAGCCTCACGGTGCGGCCCAGCCGAGCCACCTGCCGCGGGACCACCTTGTCTGCCATCCTTGGCGGGCCTGCAAGTGGGCCAGAGGGCTTGGTTAGGGCAGAGAGGACCAACGGGGTCCACCAGGACCACCTGGCCAAGCCCAGGGATGCTCCTCCTAGGCCATAAAGCAGCCCACACACCAGAGCTCACTGCCCACTGGCCTGGCTCTGGGAGATGGAAGCCAAGACCAAGATCCCAGGGAGTCAAAACGGCCTGACTCAATAATCCCTCTAATACCACAAATCAAGGAGGCACAGACAGTAACAACATACCCCGAGGTCACAGGGATGAGGGACCTTCAGGGACAAGGGGTGGCAGGCACTCCCCAAGGCCTCCATAAGCACTGAGACCCTCCTGCCTTACAGGTGCATCCTCAGAGGACTATTCTTTTTCCCCTGGCCAAGGACCCTAACCCACCTCCTGAAGCCCTGGGTAGGTCTGTGGGTAAGCCACGTGCACATGCGAGTATGGTGAGTCCTTACAGGACCTGTGTGCCCGGTGTCCCTTCTACATTGGCCATCCACACCTATGTGTCTGTCCCCGGATGCGTCCTGTGTCTGAGTTCATGAACTGCATCTGCTCCAGTCTGTCTGCCTATTCCAAGGGCCAAGTCAAGTGGCTTAACCTCCAGGAAGCACAACCCCAAGGCCCTAGGGTTAGAGGGCAAACCTCTGGAGAGACAGTGACCTGGTGGGGTCCAGAACACACAGACCCTGCAGGCATCTGAAACATGTGGGGGCTACGGACATGAAGGACCAGACCTAGCATCTCCTGAGCCTCAGGCCCCAGAGCCTGGCAGCACTCCTGCAAAAAAAGGCAACCCCTTTCCACGGCTCCTACACCTCAGGGATCACGAGGGCCTATACCATTACCTCACCCATCGCATCCCCAGATAAGGGAGGCAGCCATGGGCACCCCAGCTGTTCCCAGGACCCAGTTCCTAGCGAGCTGTAGAGGGGTGTCCACCCTGCACTGCAGCCACCCCTAGCCATCTCAGAACCACAGCCCCAGGCCAGCTACGCATGGAGGTGCCAAGAGGCAGCGGCTGCTCAGCGATGCTATCGCGATGGGGCCTGAGGGCGGCATGTGTTTTTAATAACCAGCTGGTATTTCTTCAACATGCAATTACCAGCTGGTTGTATTACCACCCTTGGCAACCCCAGTCCAAAGTGCTTCTGTGAGCGTCTTCAGAGACTCAAGTAGCAGCTTCCATCCTGATCCCACATGTGGGGATAGGGACCCTCACAGAGAGCCCCTTGCTGACTCTTGGCACCTCTCTTGAGTAGAGAGAATTACCAGCCAAGAGCGGAGTTCAGAGCTTCTTAATCTCTGATTCCAGGGAGCATCACCCCAGTCCTGCTGGGGGACTGTGGTGTGAGGATATGGGTTTCCTCCCTCTGTTATCAAAAACACCAAGGACAGTGCCAGCAAGCAGCATAGTGGTTAAGGTACTGTACCCCCATGTGGCCGAACACAGCCCAAGTCCAGGACCCAGCCAGACTTGTGTGCAAACATGCCCAAAAGAAAATGGAGGAGAAGGGATTGTGGCGTGGCCATTCCCCCCAGGGGTGGGGGGTGATTTCTCCTTTCTGTCTCTCTCTCTCTCTCCTGCAAGTGCATGCACCCTATAGCAAAAATCTCTCTCAAAAACAAAAAACAAACAAACAAACAAACAACAAAAAAAAACCACACACTAAGGTTGGAAGCTGTGGAGGGACCCCTACCACACGCTGGACCTTACCTGCCAGGCCCACCCTACTCCCCACCTTTCTGGGACCCTCTTCTCTGACTCACACTCCTCTCCCTGGTCCCTCCCACTCTAGCCCCACCTTCATCAGCCTCCTTGGTCTCCCTGGAAAGGGAGAGACGGCAGAGCTGGGAGGGCTGCGGCCCACTCCTCCCTGATTGCCACTCTCTCCGTGAATCACCCCGGGCAGCAGCAGGAGCTGTGGAGCACAGACATGGAACTCCTGAGACTCCTCTCCACCCTTCCTGGGGTCTCAGCTCCATTCCCAGGCAGACCCCACCCACCACCTGTCACTGCCTGAAATTCCACCATTCACAGGGCCTCCCAGGCTGCAGGACAGAGAGGGAATGGCAAGGTCTCTCCTGGTCCCTGCAGCCCTCCAGCCTGCCCTGGTGCCCTGAACCTCCTGGGAAGACACCTGGGCACAAGCCTTACACACACGCAAGTACACACACGTGCACATGCGTGTACACATGCCTGCAACGCCCCAGAAGAAGCGACGGGAGACAGAGTGCCCAGCCCTGTCCTGGACCAGCATCCCCACCTCCAGGTGCACAAACTCCCTGTGAGAGGAGCCTCAGCAGCACAGAAGCTGGCACCCCTGCCCCCACCCCCAGGCTCCTCCCTGACCCTGGGGAGGAAGTACAGAAGCTTGAGGAGGTGGGAGAGCCACTGAGGACCTGCTGGGAAGCAGGAGCCCAAAGGATGACCAGTACATATGGAGAAGTCAAGGACCCCTGCTTACGGCCACTGCCGAGAAGAGGGGCAGGGCCAGTGACCGCCAGACTGCGGAAGCGTGGCCCCCAGGGCCAGCCTACAAGCTTTGCTAAGGACAGGCAGGCGGCAGCGGCAGCGGAGCCAGAGGAGCCAGGCTTATCCTAAAGCAAACACCCGTCCCCTCCCCCTCAGCAGCCCTGCCCCCACTCCACCCCCACCC